ACGAAATATATATACGAAACATTGCACACCGAAACAATTTCAAAAGTTCACAGATGCCTTAAATTAGCTTAAATGGAACTAATATACGATGCATACTGTAGGGAGACGCTGAAAAGCCCCATTGTGATGCTTTCAAATATAACATACATTTTATGGAATGGTACGACACATGTTCTATATTTGAATAAAGCTTGAACTAGTGGTTCGAGTGTTTACACGTCTAGCTGAAGACTCTGGTTCGAAGCTATTGTAGCGGCACTGCCTGTCAAATTGATGAAATATTGCACCAAACTTGACTTTGTCTCAAGTACTAAAGGCGACATCCTCGATTATCCAGGGTATCAAAAGAGACATCAAACTGTGTGGGAGTGGTATGATATGTCATTGAGCGAGCAGTTAAATCCTGTTAAAGTTCAGACTAGTACAAGCATTCACACACACACTTCACTACACCTCAGGTCAAACAAGAGTTCAGCACAGATCAATTGTACTGGACTCAAAACTAAGCAATAGTGTCGGATCCAGGATATGTATTAGAAGTGATGGAGACGTTATGCCCTGGGTAATCAAGGCTGTTATTGTGACAGTCATTTCACTCTCTTGTTTCTTATTATTACCGGGTACGGCGGGGTAGCCTAGTGGTTGAAGCGTTGGCTTGTCACGCCGAAGACTCGGGATCTATTGCCCACGTGATATGGCTGGAATATTAACAAAAGCGGCGCAAAAAAACACCCTCACTCACTCTAACTAAAAGTGTTATTTCACACTAAACCCTTCACTCCTGCACTCGGCGCATATTGGTGACTTCACGAGGATGCGGTGGTCTGCTACTCAGCACAAGCTCGACAAGATCCTCAAGAGTGGAAGACGACTACAGGCCAAATACAAGAAACATTTTACACTGACGTGTAGTTCACAGAAGAAAACGTGCAATATGATTGTGTGTGTTGTTTTGATTGATAACCACACTGGGAACCACGGTTAGTCAGCACCCCATGAGAAACACAACGAGTTTCTTTGTTCAGGAATAAAAGGTTTATAAACTGGAGTACAAATAGCTCTGGCTCTGGTTCTGGTTTGGGTTCTCACTCTAGCTCTGGCTCTCACTCGGGACCGATTCACTGTATGCTGCTGGTGACGTTTGCTTGTTGGTCTTCCCAAGTTCTTTCTGTCTCTGTCCACGTTGTCTGTTATAGTCTACCATCTGTCTCTGTATTTTAGGGGTAACAGAGCCTTGGCCTTTAGACCTGGCGGCCCAGAGTTTACACCGTAGAGGACGTAAACAAGTTGTTGATGCTTACTGCGCAGCCCAGTACCAACTATTTCCTGTCAGTTATAGTTCTCTGACTTTGTAGGGCCTGCACGTTTACACCACTTGGCTCCTGGACCATAACACATGATGGGTTGTCATGAATGGTCATGCAGCAACTCTGTGTACTTTAGAGTTAACCAGTCAATAGCCTGTTCAGAACAAGATAATAATTTATACCACCTATCATCGTCTACTTTCCCGCTTAGACTAACTTGGTAATTAACCTGTTTCCTAAGTCCAGCAACCTCGCTTGGCATGTGTGACTGTAGTCACGGTAGGCTGATTCTTGGCTGGACAGCTATATTACACATGCCTACATGCTATATGTTTACAGGATCTGTGACCTGGTAGATTATAGACTGACTGTCGTTATAGAGCTGGAACTTTGCTGAGCGCTGCGGGTTTTAAAACAAACAAATAAATAAATAAACACTGTTAGATTGTTCCGTGTAAGTCAAATTGCCAATCTACCTCATGTGACACAGGCGGTAACGTAGCCTAGTGGTTAAAGCGTTGATGGCACAAGTTCAAGTCCCAATTTCTGGTTTCCTAGCCATGACACTCCAGTAATGGTGCTAAATGTGACAAACATAAAAACAAGTTACAGATATTTGATGAATTCTGATTTCTCTGATCCAGGTTCCATTATTTAATGGTACCGATCTTTTGCTGTGAGTTTGGTAAGTACGGGGATAAACAAAATATAAGTGGGTACAAGGATAAATAAAATATAGCTGTGATGTTGCTGGGTATCGGGATAAACAAAATGTAACTGGATACAGGGATAAACAAGTTATAACTAGGTACAGGCATAATACAAAATCAATTATTCATAATTTATGTTGGAAAATAACCGAGCACATATTACATGTTGCAGATGTGAAATAAACCCAAGATGACCGTGACCTCGGTGACCTCATCCGAATATGGAACTACATTTTTCATTCATAGTTGTTTACTACAAACTTCTACGAAACAGAATAATCTCCTCAGAACAAGATGGTTTGTTTCTCTCAAATAACACTATAATCTAAATATGACACAAGACATATATTAACACAAAACATTTATTCATCAACACGAAATTAAAACAGTTAACATTACAATAGTTATTGAGCTATTATTAGTGATTCAAATACAATATAAGCTTTGTCACAGACGAAAACATGGATGCTCCCATACACGTCAAAAGTCTCGTTAAAACACAGACAAATAAATGCTCCCATACACGTCAAAAGTCTCGTTAAAACACAGACAAATACACAACTTACATCTGTCAAAAACACAAATAGAGCCATGTCGTTCGAGTTTGTTCAAACACTTATTGGCTGTCATATACAGCTGTATAAAAGAAGAGCTCTTCCACGTCAGTTTTTGTAATTCCACGAATGCTTCCGTTTCATTTGACAATGAACCAGTGCCTGAACCTAGACGCATTGCTAAATTTCCCGCTTTCAGTGAATTGTTCGATGAGTAGACAGTCCATATGCACTCGCCTCAGTTCCTTGTTCTTGTTCGAAAAGTTCTTGTTCAAAGAATATCTTTATGTTAGCCTTCACCTGATAAAAAAACCTGATGTCCGACCTACTGCAGTCGTCTTGGCTTAGTGTTTTGAAAGTGTTTGAAGGTTTTACTTCAAATGATGTAAATATGTTTGAACACAGCGTTATTCTTACATTTGCATCGATAAATTGAAATTTCAAGTGACACGTTTCTGAGTTATTATTTGAATACCGACGAAAGGAGTCTATGTATTAGGCACTATTTCTATATGAGCACTGCTTGAAGTCGTAATTGGTTTCAATATCAAGCGGGGTTACAATATCCATACGCGACCTTCCACGCGACCTTATCACATCCACCAATTTACTGAAAGCACCATAGTGTTTAAACACATGGAACGAATTTGCGTGATTTCAAACTCTATGGGATTTCTACAAGTCTTTAATAATTGAAATTATAACGCATTTTCACCGTAATGACACTATTGGAGGCGTCCTCGGAAAATGAGGTGTTGGTCATAAAAATGATAGATTACAAACAGCATTTGCACACAGGAGAAGTTATTCAAAGTTAACCTATTGTTTTCAGTTTCAACTAAATTAGTAAGTCGTGTCACTGTATTCTATGGTCTTGACTCGCTATCACTTGATTGTCTGCTCCAGACTCTATTGTTTACAGGCCGTAGACGTATGGCAGTGGTATGGTTGGATGACAAAACAGTAATAACCTTCTAAATGCAAATTTTTCGCAAACAGCTTGTCTCATCATTAATTTTCAGTGATCTATTCATATGTAAAAATTGAAATTGACGCTAAACCAAATTTGTATATGGTGTTGGCTGTGTACTACAATCACACTCAGATAACTTAGTACCACATTAGTGATGACAAGTGTCATTGGAAAGTACACAATTTTAATGTAGAGAACAAGGAACACACAGGTAGTCAATACCGGGTATGACCGCCCCTGGTTGCAATGCATGCCACATAACGCCTTCTCATACTCACTGTCAGTCTCTGGATAGCAGTTGGTGGTATCCTACACCACTCACGTTGCAGGACAAGTGCGAGGTCGCCTTCGTTGGCGATTTGAGGTTGACATGCAATGTGCTTTCCCGGAAGTCCCACAAGGCTCCCATTGGCGATAGATCGGTAGAATGCAAGGCATGGCATAACAGGTACGTTATTTTGTGCCAGGAAATCCATAGAAGCACGTGTTGTATGTGCCCTGGCGACCTGTTGAAAAGTATGCAGCTCTTGGTGTTGATGGAAACAGAGGCCAACGTGACGTTTTAAAATAGCGTGCCTGCAGTAAACTTCATTTACACGACCTGTGCATACATGGAACTGTATTCTGTGCCGAAAACTGATATCGACCCAAACCATCGCCCCATCGATCAGTCTGCATAACACAATCGTCCGTCGGCGTTCCTGAGGTGAAATCTGGATTCGTCAGAGAAGAGAACGCCATGCCAGCGTCAAAGTAACCATTGTCTGTGCCCAAGCGACCACTGAGGGCGTGCATTTCGGTGCCTTGGGAGCGGAATCAGGCCTACGACAGAATGACGGCATTTTCCCGTTCCTTAGGTGTCAGTCTCGATATTGCGTCCTCAGTGCTATTCCGCGGCCACGGCAATACTGCAGGTAGCCTTTGAATGCCACCCCTTTATACTCCATTTCTGCACTAAAAGGGCATTTTTCGTAATAACGTGTTTTTGAGTACTGTTTTGCGTTTTGGTGACGACTCATAACGGCTATCAAACCTGTCAACAGTTTTGGAGCCTCCTCAAGTCCTAACCATGGCGTATGTTTGTTGTTCTTTTACTACCATCATGATATTTTCATGGCTTCATGTTGGTGCGTTTTCAAAGCGAGTCAGTATAATTTCCATCAAGATTTTGCCTTGAACGCCAAATGGAAGCTTGTTTCGGCCGATACTCGAGACTCATTACTCTGGTATTGACTTAAGATATTTTCAAATTTATACCACAAATCATTGGTCACTTGATGTCTTGTTCGTTCATTAAATTTGCCTCTTTTAGAGAAGCAATTTGTCTAAAATACATACATAATATCAAACTTCCCTTGCTATTACCATTTCATATTCATAAACTAAAAATGAACTAAGAATTATTCAGTCACAGGAAATAGACATTGTAAGCAAAGGGGATACACGCGTATCCTCTTTATCTTGTCAGCATCCCAAGAATCACGGCTGTTACACTACTACTAAACACAAAGAAGCATGTAAAACAGGTCTTGTTTAGTTTAGTTTCAATATCTGCCCATTCTGGTCTTGTCTGCTCTTCATCCTCCACATTGCCACTTACAACATCAACTTGGTTTGAAACAGAGTCCTTCTTACACATTCTTAAGATCCATTTCGGTGGTGGCTTACCTTTCATTTTGAGAAGGAGGATATTGACAACGACGATGACAACACTGGTGAAGTTGGCCAGAGACACGTAGAGGCTGAAGAGGCTGACGGTGAGAGAGTTCTCAGGCAGGGAGTCCCTGATGATGGACAGAAACAGTTGGAAGCTGAGGAGGACAGACACGGCCATGCTGGTCTTCTCTCCGCTCTGTGAGGGCAGCAGGAACACGAAGGTGTTGAGGAAGTAGAGGAGGACCACGGGGAGCAGGATGTTGAAGATATAGAACATAGGGCGTCGTCTCAAATGGAAGGTTATACGTATTAACCGTCCATCGTTTTCACCATCAATGTTAGTGATATCTTCAGTGGAAATTTCAAACTCGCTATTCTCTTCAAATAGGTTCATGTCAACATCTGTTTCACTGGAGAGATGTACTTTATTGTAGGACCCGAACCATCCACGTATTATAACTGAACAAGTCTGGGTATCAAAGGGAAACTTGTAAATGTTGATAGGACACTTGGATTCCATTGCCCCTATGACAAACCATCTAACATCTCCATGACTGGTAACCAACAGAGACCCTCCATTCTGCAGTAGATCTTGTCCCTTAATACTATTTCCTATAATCAATTCAGGTTTCCACAATTTGTGTGAGTCTACAAGAATTCGTTTCTGTGAGCTCAACGAATTATTCCAAACAACTCGATGGTCGTACCACGAGAAGACCAACCACATGGTGCTGCTGAGAAACTGCTTTTTGTTATCCAGTTCTTGTACAGATAACAATGTTGCTTCGGTAGTTATGTTAACTACATTGCTGGGTTTGTGATGGGCTTTGTAGCCTTTTAAGATAGTGTCAGCGACTTCTCCGTCAGATGTACAACACACGATCCATGGTATACCTTGCAGTATACATGTCAAGATAACAACCTTCCTGGCAGCCAACATCTTCTCAGGCGTATGTGTAAGTCCAGGCGTTGCTAATGAATGATGCGTTCTTCTGTATTTATGCAATGTCATCGGTGTTTGTTTCTATGGAGATGACATTAAACACAATATAATCCTCTGAATTAAACAAACCACGAAATGGCTTTCATGCAAGTCAATATGAACGTTTCAGGGTTATTACGAAATTGCACTTGATGAACAGTGAATCTACAACATGGTTCAATTAGGCACTGAAGGAAATATTTAATCAGTGTTATGCAACCAAGAGAAGTATATAACGACTTTTCATAGATCGATATGAATTTTTCGTTCCCATCTTTTCTTCTTCTATTGATTGCTTTTGATTTGTTTGTGCTAAAACATTGCATATTAATTTAAGCTACAAAATCCTTTTCCAATATTATTACAGATCTCTACCCTTAAGTCCATTGTATGATTACGATTACGCTTTTGAAAGCTTTACTGACACCTTCAGTCTAAGCTTGATTGTACCTCAAAGGTCACGAAATGTAAACACCAAAGGCTGCTGAGTTACTGCACGACGTAAAGGGAAACATGACTGTTGGCAAACTGACGTCATCCCTCTTGTCATACATGTCTTGTGGATAGTTGTTTGTCTCTCTGAATCTTTATGCATATATTTTAATATAAAAGCAATGAGGCGGTTTCAATGATCTGTTTTAGTTCTAGATCAAGTGGGTAAATCAGTGGAAAGGAATTAGCTATTTGACAATTATTGAACGATATCAGATCATCTACATACACAAAGCTGAAGTTAAACTTCTTGACAAATGACATTGTTCATCTTTCTCTGTTCACCCAGCAGTGATTGGGCTCATGATATAACATGTATGAGATGATAATGTGTGCAAACATTCTTGTGCCTAACAGGTACTTTTGCTTGTACACTATCTGTGGAGGTGCGAATTCAGTATGTATAAATACTCATCCGTTGATAATGGTAATATATCATGCGCTTTATCATTATCATGTTATGCTATTTTCAGTATGTTTCAATATTTAAAAGGACCACCTCCATGGTCTAGAGGACAGAGCATCTGCCCAGAGAGCAGAAGGTTGGTTGTGCGAAACCCGGATGCATAATACCAAAAGACCTTAAAAGGTGATAACCACAAGATAATCATATAATCTCTCGTTGCCATTGACACTATTCCGGATGTCCAGAAACTATGAATCAGCAAAACGTCATTCCCGTGAGCTTACTGAAACATTCCACGATAGTCTTGGATCGAACCACGAAATGACCATCAACAAAGTGACGCTGAGAAACTATTGTTTGACATCTGGTTCCTGCAGAAAGGAGACCTGCAGTTATTGAAACGTTAACTACGTCTGCCGGTTTATAGTGAGTTATATATGTTGAATGTTTTTGTATGCAGTGTTGGGAAGTTGCAAGTCCTATGGCGATCTCAGCGCCAGCTCAACTGGAATAAAGTTTCTTTTCAACACTTGTTTCTGTGCAAAACTCAATGCATTTTCCATTTTAAAATGTATTTATTCAGTTTATTCAAGTGGTGTCTAAAGGCAATGTAGGGGATCCGTAGCCGGAACTGCAGATCATTGAATGTAAAAAGTGTTTCTAACACAAAGTCTCAGGTGTAGTACTACGGTCAAACATACTGGGACGATATTTTAATTGTGAAACAAATGGTCTCTGGGGTCAGACAGTTGATACCAGGTAGGTGATCGAGACAGGCAGGACATGTTAATAAACATTTTTTTATTGAGTTAGGTTCAGTGTCGCTTTCAACAGTATTTCCCTTATATTGGTGTTGGAGCAAAGCGATAAAGGTCTTAGACGTTTACAATTTTTGGGACATCCACAAATACGGGTTTGCGCTGACAAACCTAAAAACATAATCAGGACAATAGTGTACAACCTATCTATCTACCTATGAAGAAATTCGTATAATTATTATCTTTTAAACTTTAATCCAGAACAGGTGCGTGTTAGGGAGTCACATGACACATGATTTTAGTGTTACCTTTTAAGTTATGATTTTAAAGTACTAATATTTCTATGGATAGGACAGGTTTATCTTAGATATAATGGAAATTTGCTTGAAACGTTTCTCTTAGAGTTACTCTTGAAACTTAACTAAACGTTGTTCTAAGAGCCTTTATATGAATGTGCTCTTATGTATTGTGACAAATCTTAGCTGAGTGTGAGATAGCCAGTTCAAAGATGGAGAACTGGAGACGTCTTTTCAGATTGTTGTTTAAACGTGATATATGTTCATTTTAACTACATCTAGTTATTTGAAAAACACACACTAGAAAATCCCTCAAGATCGCCCCCATGGTCTAGTGGATAGAGCGTCTGCCCTGAGACCGGAAGGTTGGTGGTTCGATCCCCAACTGCATCATACCTAAATACCTAAAAATATGGTACTTGTTGTTACCCTGCCTGGAGCTCGGCATTGAGGGGATTACAATTATATAATGTTGACCACTATTTTGCCTGTTTTGCCAGTGGGAACAGTAATAAGTTATAGATATTCTTGTAATACAAATAACCCGGAAATGTTAACACAATACAAGAATTCAGTTGTCATGGTTTCGTTAACGATGGATCCTATCCAGCAGTGTGACATTTATTTGGATGAGTCTGAAATTCCCAAGTGAGTGAATGTTTGGCGTTGCAGTCAATGATACAGCAGCTGTATCACGGTTACTTTTGCCATGATTTGCTTGATTCACTTCTCACAACCTTTTTATGATACTAATCTTTTCATGGTTAACCTAATCCTGAACCCTAATAACTGAATCTACTAACACATAAGACCCGTGAAGATTCCGGGGTAGAATGGGTCTTCAGCAACCCATGCTTGCCGTAAAAGGTGACTTTGCTTGTCGTGAAAGGCGACTAACGGGATCGGGTGGTCAGGCTCGCTGACTTGGTTGATGCATGTCAACGATCCCAATTGCGATCGATGCTGGTGATATAAATCACTGGATTGTCTGGTCCAGACTCGATTATTTACAGACCGCCGTCATATAGCTGGAATATTGTTGAGTGCGGCGTTAAACAACAAACCAAACCATCACACAAAGACCCAGGTTGGACCCATGTTCCTGTCACACTATTCGATCATGGGTTCAGCCGACTCCTGCCACACAATCCCATCATCGTTTCAGTCCTGAAATCATAGGAATGGAACAGTGATCTGACAGTTGCTCGTATTTACATTACTCGTGTTGTGATGGTTTTTGTAACCTTCCAAAGCCCTGTCTGTTCTCTGTATGCTCTTTGGTGTAACGTGCAGTATGCACGTCCAGACAATAACCTACCTTTCTGACGTTCAACGTCTTCTCAGGAGTGTGTTTAATTCCAGGCGTTTCGTATGGATTATGCATTCTCATGTGCTTCTGTATTTAGGCAATGTATTTTCTGTTGTGATGACATTAAACACAGCCTAATGCCCTGACAGCTTCGACATAGCTTTAATGGATGTCAATATGACGGTACATATTGCACTTCAAACTGTCAATCAAAAACATGGTTCAATAAGATCCCGTGGAAAATATTTACTCAATGTTATCACACACACAGATTTATGACAGGAGCCCACATAGATCAATATGAATATTGCCAAGTCATCCGTTGTTTTGTATTGATTGTCTATGAGTTGTTATGGCATCTCTTAGAACAGGTGACATTGTTTATACATAACTGTGGATCTTCCGGGTTAGAATTACAGGACCCCAGCAGCCTACGCTGGCTGTAAGATGTGAACAAATAGTTCGGGTGGTGAAGCGCCAGTGACTTGCGTGATTGAATGCCCACCACACCCCGACAGCGTAGATCGTTGCTCACACTATTGATCACTGGTTTATCTCACCCAGACTCGATTCTCTACGAGGCAAGCGTCATATAACTGGAATATTGCTGTGTGAGGCGTAAAACAATCCAAAGAACCTTTAACATTCAATTTTTTTGTAACATTTTCTCCTTATATCCTCGGCGATATTGTGCTATAGAACCGTGTTCCATAATGGTTTTGAAGCAAACTCCCGTCCGAAATATACATCGAAACTTTGCACACCGTCACAATTTCGAAAGTTTTAAGGAGCCTTTGGTTAAATGGGTGTTTTCAAATCTTAATGTTGACGTTTCGTGAAAAGCTTTTGGCTGATATTGTCAAATATCATTATATGTACACTTCAAATGAAGCCAGAAGTACAAGCATTTTACACCATTTTGCAATTAACAGAAGTTAACGTGCAATATGATTGTGTTTGTGGTTTGGATTGAGAACCACTTTTGGAGCAACGGTTAGTCATCACCCAATGAGAGTAAGAGGCGACTAACGGGATCGGGTGGCCAGGCTCATGATTTGGTTGATGCACGTCATCGTATCCCAATTGCGTAGATCGATGCTCATGACGTCAATCATTGGATTGTCTGGTTGACACCCGATTATTTACTGACACCCGTCATATTGATGGAATATTGCTGAGTGCGGCATTAAACAATAAACATATAAACAAACACTGTTGGATTGTTCTGTAGCTGTAAATCGCCAATCAATCTCATCTAACACGGGCGGAAAGGAAGT